CGCACGGTAGGCCTTTGTGAAGCAGATTTGTAGTCATAATAACATTGTGGTCGCATGTTAGCTTAGACATTTGTGAGTAATATGTATTTCAGTGTTGTTTTGATTTCTAGCTTCATAAATGTGTAGTATTCTTTGGGGTACATGAAACATAAAAAGGAGTGGATACGTGTGTATAGTAAAAATCACTGCAACAAGTCAAAATGTATTTCAATATATTTTTTATTTTAACTTATTCTCTCAAGTCTTTGCAATAAAAAGGAACAGACAATAAATATACATTCACAATAAAAAATAGTTCATATTGCAAACACATTCAAGTGTACTCGACCATGTAAAGTCTAAGAGCAAATGTAAACAGCTTTTCCCTCTTATAACGTCTCTGGTTAGAGTCTCTTATATTTGTCAATCTTTAGGTCAGAAAGGCGTGACGTCAACACAACACATGAGCACTCGCCACTCACAATCAAGAAGCCACATTACGGGTTTAAGTAAGCTCAGGTTGGTTGAACAAGCTAAGGCTCTCAAATGTCTCTTGGGCTGTGTGTGCTAGAGTCTTTTGTGTGTTTTTTTTTTTTTTTCAGCGGATAGTCTGCATCGCCACAGCTCCTGGTATCCATGGAAACGGCGCTGCGGCGTAAGGGGCGCACATGTCCGCTTTCTTTAAGTCAGCGACCCACCGCTGACTCTCTGCTTTATCACAACTTCTTTTACAGAGTCAGTTTTAGCTAATAACGCATCTTTCTTTGTCCTTGCCCTGCCCGCCGCCTATCGCCTTCTCTTTAATGTACATGAGGTCGCTGTGCACACTAGGTCTTCGAGCGCAAGGGGTCACGATCCCGTACGCCTCGCCGATATCTTTGAGCTTCTTGTTCTTTAGCGACTTCCTGTGGAGCATGTCGCAGTACTGCACGGACACTTTGCGGTGCAGGTCGGGGCTCATCTCGTGAGGTAGCTTGGCCAGCGTGAACAGAGTCTGAAACATCTTATCCACGTTTTCGTTACGCTTGGCCGAAATTTCGAAGTAGGCGCACTTGTCATCGCCGGCAATGAGCTGCTCGATCTCCTCTGGCTGGACCTCTCGGTAGAATTCGCGGTCACCCTTGTTGCCGCAGATGACCAGTGGGACGTCGATGTTCTCCTTGATTTTGTTCTTGAGGCAGGACTTTGTCTCGTAGATCTGGCGCTTGAGACGCTGCACCTCCTGGAATGAGTCTCTGTTGTCCAGGCTGAAGACCAGGATGAATACATCGCCTGAAGAAAATAAAAGAAAATTATACATTAGTCACATGTGATCAGATCACCTCAACAACAGGACATAACATTGGAAACTACACACTATAATTACTATTACCACAATACCAGAAAGCCACTATCAAATAACCTTGCAAATTTTAAGTTGTATTCAGTCAACTCTTCTCTTCTGATATGTGCTGCTGCAATTGTAAAATTTTTTCCACAGAGGAAAAATTACAATTACAAATGTTTTTATTTCTATTTCTTTCATATTTCTTCTGTTTTTTGTAGTAAGTTTAGTAGTAGTAGACTGGTAGTAGCCTATTACTATGATTAATGCTTTATTATTACCATTAATGCAGCACCCATGCATTTCAGAATATTATTTGTAAAACTAAATAATAATAAATAAAATAAGATTAAAAAAAATATTCATAATAATTTGATAAAAAATGTACTGTACTATTTTTTTTATTATAATATAATTTTATATGCGGAATGATAACAAAGTGATGTGACAACAAGAAAGAGGTTCGGCTGTCACACTGTAGCCAATTCTCACTTCAAAGTAGCAATAAACAACATTTTCTTTCAAATTCAGTAAAAAAAAAAACTGATTTTGCACTTCTTCTTTTAAGATTCTAAGGTAGGTATAAGAGGATAAGTGATTTTAACCCAACTCTGCAACTACCCGTCAATAAAACTAAAAGTTCAGCTAGTTTTACCTAAAGTTTTTCGCTCTACGCACCTGTTAATATCGATAGTCTCCTCATGGCGGGAAACGGGTGGTTCCCAGACGTGTCCAAAATGTCCAGCTGGTAAACGTCCCCTTTGATGCTGTACAGTTTCCTGTGAAAGTCCTCTATGGTCGGCGTGTACTGCTCCTCGAATCTCCCGTTCAAGAAGCGAGACACGATAGCGGTTTTCCCAACTTTCGTGGAGCCGAGTATGACCATCCTGTAGCAGTTCTTGGCGGGGATGTCGTAGTCACTTTCGGACGGCGACATTTTCTTAATCATGGTGACAACGCGTGAGTGCAAAGGTAAGTGCGAAGGTGAGTATCGGTTTTAAGTGCTGTTATTGTTTCTCTGTGCGGTTCTGTCTTTCCAGCCGCGGTGCGCTCTGCTTTATAAGCCCGAGAGCGCGGCCCCTCCTCCGGCTAACGTCACGGACACACACATACACATACACGCGGTAGACAGACAAAAAAATAGAAGAGCTGCCCATTCACTGTATCGTTCCCATTGCTGCGTCAGTTTGCTATTTCTAATGAACGGCCGATCGGGATCGACTGTGGGAAGAAAACGCACGGACTGCATCACCAAGTCAGGTCAATCATTTAATGTTCACCAGAGTTACACTTTGTACAAAAACAAAACAAAAAAAAGGAAATGAGTTTTTTGTAACTGGTTAATGTATCCCAAGGCGCTTCCTAAAACCCAACGGAGCGTGTAAAAGTTGCTGCACGGTTGCATAAAACTAAACATGTGCTAAAACATCCGGCTAATGCATGACATGGAAAACGCACAGTTATGTATTTCAGTGGTCCACATTCAACAAGCATACGGCGCAGCAGTAATAATGAACGCCAACAGAGGGCGCTCCTGCACGGGTACAAGTTCAGGACGGCATGACAAGGCTACTGCTCTATGCACAGACTACTCAACTATATGTATGCAGCCTGTAACCTACATTTTGACTATTATATATGCCTATCTACCATGTAAGGCAACATGTAAAATGGGTAGACTGTGTTTTTGTTGAGACAGGTTTGCAGCATTGAGAATCTACTGTGGCCACTTTTCAGCAAAGGCAGGTTTGAAAACAGTGCTTGAGTGGTTTTGAATGAATGCATGAATGCTTGACCTTAACCAATATTTTCAGTATTTCTGTGGGTCACGGTTAGGGTTTTTGACCTGCTGCTGGACTTAGTCAGCTAGTCTGTTTGGTTAATCAATTGTCCATTTTCCCCTGTCTCTGTTATAAGCAATACAATGTGCAGACTGTAAAGTAAACAGAGGTCACTTGGAGAACATTATTCAAGTTTGGTGCCATTTTTTAAAGGCTTTATTGCAGGTATCGCTTAACAAATTATAATATAGCAGGAGGTTTGTAAAGGAAAAAAAACAAATCCTATTCATCAGCAAAAGAGTTTGTGTTAGAATTTACTATTGTCACTTAATTTTAAATTCAGTTGCTGACAAAATAATACTATCTCTAATACAGATATGAAACAAACATTGTACAGTATCTTTTGTTTTTGTTTTGAATGCATTAAGTGGATGACAGGGCATTTGATGTTGGTAACTGAAAAGGATAACTAACAAACCTATGTTGTTGTGTACTCTGGTCTTGATGTGTGTGACTGGCCCCTGAGCCTCTGCACAGTCTGAAGATCAGAGGGGCCATTGTCTGTACGAGTGATCCTGTTGGTTACCCAGCTACACTGTGCGTCACAATGCTCACCAGTCAGCTAACTTTAACCAGCTGCTACTCACTCAATCCACAGCACAAAAAGACTTTATACAAGTGAAAAAATCACCCTGATAACTTGTCCCACTTCACATATTAGTGCGCCATTCACCTTTTATCAGTTTAAATGACTAATAATAAAATAATAAAGAAACAAACTGAGAAAAAGTATAGAATATAAATATATGCCACAGCAAACCTTTGACACGTTCCTTAAATGATACAGCTGCTATGAACCAATTTAGTTGCACCAGTGAGAACCAAGCTGCTCTATCTGCCAAAACCCTAAATGAACCTTTCCTATGTTCCACAGATAAATGTTTAGTTTACCTCAAGTGTTACAATAGATTTGGTATTGTTTCCAGTCTTGTCTAAGTGAGATGATTCAACTCTCTAGGTTTCCTAGTGGGAAATGTCAGTAAGGCATAAATCCTTTTTCATCTATAACTGTTTGATATACAGTTCAAATGAAGCCACCCTGTTGAGTGTGTTTGCACCATTATAATATGACATGTTTATGAGACTGTTGTGAAGTGAGAGGTCACTTAACAGCCTTACAGGTTAAGGGCTCTTTAACATAAAGACAGCACCACTTACAGCCAGGTATAGCACATTTAATGTTTCACTTATGTAATGATAAATACGTACAAATACATGCAAAGTAAACATAAAAATATAAAACATTCAAAGAAATACCCTTTTCAAATATTTGCTTAGTTAGAATCATTTAATTGTTTAGAATAATGTAATCTACAAAGTATAAAGAAACTGTAGTTTGTGTCATCTTAAGTGTGCTTAACACGAATTTGTCCTACAAATAATTTGTTTTCTAGTCCAATAAATAAGATACAGTTGCAGTAATTATTTAACAGAACGTTCTAAACAATTATGCAAGTGAAGTTTTTTCAGTTCATCATTTGTCTCACAGAAGCTGGAGCAGAGTGGAGCCTGCAGTGACACGTGAGGGATCAATGTTGTGTCTTTCATAAAGCCACTCATCCTTCCATCTACACTGATCGAATTTCACACAGAAATGTGTGCTTTCTCCAGGAAACATGAGGAGAAGTGCTGGAGACCACTTTAGTTCAAGTAAGTCTACTCGAAAGAACACAGGGCAGAAAAGGCTTTAGTCATGAACACATTTCCAAACTTAAGCAGTATGTCTGCACTTTTGTGATAATCATAATCATAATTAGCTCAATGCAAATTAAAGACAAATTTAAGTATGATTTTTCCCCCCAGCATTTTTTACTTTAGTTCTTTGATTTAAGGCCAACAAAATCAGACTTCAAACCTTGACTGTATAGTTTTATTTTTACTTAAACAGTACATCCACAAGCTGTTTACGGTTGTGTTGGGGATTAGTACAGTGAAAACCTGAGATCATTCACCTCAACAATTTTATAATTGACAAATCATGGACAGTTCGTAAATTATGAACATTTCACATTTCATATCAACACACTAACAATAACACTGGTTGTCTTTAATGGTACAACATTAGCACTGCACAATATATTGCATTTTTATTCAAATTGTGTCAGTTCAGTCTGACAGGGGTTTTGCTCAGTTTAGTTTTTGCCAAGTTTGAATTTTGACAATAGAAATTAATTAATTAATTAAAATTAATTTACTATTTCAAAATAATTATTACAAATACAACAATAATATTGATGTTACAATACAATAATAATTGAATATTACATGCCTTAATATTGTACAGCCCAGTACAACATCAAAGAAAATGTGAACAAATGCATGTTATATATCCCAGCTGCTAATAGTTAATACTATGTCAAACAGTCTGTGCAGCATAGAGAGGTCAATTAAAATATAGTTTGAACATAGAGATTGTCTTAAAAATAATAAATTAGCTTCAGAAAGATATTTAGTAGGTCATCCAAAAACCAAAACCAAGACTCTATTTCTGCATTCATGAGATAATGTTTGATTAAATAATAATTTTGTGTGCTTTGGTGTGTGTAAAGAGCATTTTAACACAGTGTCAAATGTGGTATAATTTATTCTCATTTAATTTTCCCTGTGTCCACATTACAAGAAGGCATCCTGAGCAATAGTGGGATCCGAAGGCGTCTGTGAAGGAGGCCATTATTCATGCTTGCGTCGCTGGCTTCTCTCCTGATAGATGCGCTCTGTGAATGGTCTGTAAATATAACAGAGCAAACATGAAACGGGACAATAAATCAGAGAGGAGAATGCCGTACCACTCAGTGCCAGGACCGTACATGTGTTAAGTGAAGCGCTGAGTGATGAGAAAATGAGTATGTCCATTGTCCAACAGGAACTGCACATGTGCCTCTCCATGTAATAGCGTATATTTAGGCACCATTGACCCATATTAATGTCATAGCAGTACTTGAGAATTCTCTCTCTTATAACCAATTTGGAAAGTATTTATCTCCTTGAAGCAAAGAGAGCTACCACTTATTAAACAGAATTGTCCCATTTACTAAATATTAATTGTATCTCTTTAGATATTCTTCTTGTAAAATTAAAAAGGATGAATGGACTACGGCTAAATAGGGTTTGGTTTACTAAATTATCTGAGAATGAAACTAATCATAACATAAGGTATGTTTTGTCTTAGGGGATATTCAATTTTACTTTATTTTATTTTATTTTTTTTTTTTACAATGGGCACAGTGGGCAATTGACAGAAAAAGCACATGCATATAGTAAAAAGTTGCAACTTGGAGAGGTGTCTGAACTTCTATTTTCAGCACACAGTATGGTTCCCATAAATCTAAAATCATGTCAAATCCAGTCATGCAGTCCACTCTGTCTTCAAGTTTACCCAAATCAGATCATTCAGAATCAGTGCCACGGGCTACAGATAAATATAACACCATCCAATCCCCCCTCACAGCTTGTGGTGTGTCACCTTCTTTTCTATAAATGACAGATTTCTTATGACTGACAGAACTGGTAAAACCGTAGGGACATACATGTTTACCTGGGCTCTCTCTCACAGCATGTGGTTCTGTGACATCAAAAAAGGCAGGGTCCCACGAACAGAGAACAGTAGTGGTCAATTTTTAGATTTGATATAATTTCATTTTGCTAATTAAATAAATGATACAAGTATTAAATATTTAACTCTGCAATGGTTTTATCAACTATTTATTACAGGGAGTTTTATTTAAATAAACTCTGCATAATTTGGCTTTCAAGTTTAAGGATGTAACATTTTGGTCATATAGTGAAGTGTAATGTAAAATTCAGAGCCAATAGCTTCCACCACCGAGGTTAAGAGGATTGTGTCTCCCTTTGTCTTTTTATGTTTGTACCAAATAGAGGATATGCACAACTGTGTGGTCAATGCGGACACACAGTGGCACACCTGCTCTGTCGCTGAGTCCACCTACATAATGGAAGTGCTGATGAGTAAGTGCTAGCTGCAGCTGCTTTCAGAACAGCCTGCACATTTGTGTATTCTGTGTTAAGGGACGACAGATTCTAAGCCGGTATGTGGGGCGATCATAAACTAGTTTTTAGACTTGTCACGTAATATCCGCTGCTTGTAGAGTAGGATAGACCTCTGAGAAAAAAATAGTCTTTAACGAGGTGGTATTAAACTTCAGTGTGGTATTAATTGCTAACACATAACATATTTAGATCACCATATTACCTTTTATTTTTTGAAAATGCTATATTCACCAAAACAACATATTAACATGTACAATAAGTTTCAATTTTGTTTTTGGCACTCTCAGTCCCACCCCCTTTTCTCTCAACACGAAGTCACTCACCCTTCAGAGCGCAATCACAATACAATCAGTGTGCATTTTGCTAAAGAGACTATGGCAGATTGCATCAGATTTGTGAAGTTGTATATTGTTTTATATGCTTTTGTGTATTGAAAATGATCATGTGGGAGCATAGACTTGTGAGTTTCTTACATACTGCTAACTGTAAGGACAGTCTGAATAGGTGCCCAGGATAAATTGCTAAATTATGTGGCCATATTGACTTGTCAAAGCCTGATCCCGTCAGATCTCAGAAGTTAAGCTAGGCCGGGTGTAGTTAGAACTTGGATGGGAGACTTCTGGGAAAATCAGGTGCCACAGTGGGGCGCCAGTCGCAAAAAACTATTGCTGTGTCCTTAAGCAAGACACTTCACCCACATTGCCTAGTATGAAAGTGGTGTGTGCGTGAGTGATGGTGGTGGAGGCCGACTGGCATGGCAGCCACGCTTCCGTCGGTATGCCCCAGGGCAGCTGTGGCTGCAGTGGTGGCTTACCACCACCAGGTGTGGAGAAAAAGAATAATAAATCTATAAAAAATGCTCTGTAAAGCATCTTTATGACATATGTCTGTGAAAAGAAAAGAAAGACTTACTTACTTAAACATGCATGGATAATATATAAAACCTCTTCAGGCATGTTTTTGATGCAACGTTATAATATGGTGGAAAGCTTCAAAAAGTTGACTGTGTATAATACCCCCCTTTAAAACCCACAAGGACTAATGTTGTGCTTTTTAAATTAATTAATAATAAATAAACCTAGAATACATACCCTTCAAATTGTATTGCCACCTTGTATGCCACTGCTACAATTGCTGTCAGGGTCAGACCAGCAGGACTTGAGCCACTAAAAACACAAAGAAGAGGATGGCAGGTTAAATTTGGTGCTTATGAAATACAATTTACACTACTCTATATTGTGCCTATTTTTGACCAGTCAGTCGATCTCATTGTTTGAGGTGTGCAGCAAAGAAGAGTTACATAATATTATACAACTAAAGAAAACTCAGTTGTAAACTGACCATTAGACTCCATGCTTTATGACCAGCAAATTCATAGAGATAATTTCTGATTTGCGACAGTCAGAAACATTTTCCTTCTATTATTAAACCCTAAAACACTATAACTGCAATTTGGAAGACATTTTGCTTTGACATGTCCTTTTGGGTTTGTTTGCTCATGTGCAATCTGACCTGTTTGACCCACTAATTATGAACCATACATCTGCGATCAACATTACTCAGTCATCGTGGTTTTATAACTTGTGCCGACCCACAAACATACATCATAGCTTGGGTCTTACTCTCTTCTTTTTGAAACCAGGTTAAAACCAAATGGGAATATTAAAATATTCTTTGCTTATTTTTACTGGGGTTTTGTGATGAAGATAGTACAGTTTTTTCCATGTTCAGGTAACTTGAGTCAATTATTTTTGACAACGCATAAAATAAAGTAATTCATATCTGATCTTAGTAGTAAAAAGCAAACATTTAAAAATGGGTTAGGTATGACGTCCCCCTCCCCATAGCTCCCTCATCAGCCCATGTAGCCTAGATATCTTCTCTAATTGACAGGCAGTAGACAGGTCACATGTGCTCTAAAGCAAGCCGTGCCGGGATTCGTGTTTTCTTTGTTCTACTTAACAATGCACAAATGATACCTGATCTTGCTTTTAAACAACCCTGGTGCAGTCTCTTATGCTCACATATGAACAGAAAGTAATCAGAAGGAATAGGAGCATACCCGTGTTTGAAAAAGGAGTCACATTGACCTACTTCTCGTGTGAGAGTTAAAAAGAGTTATGGAAATCTGCCCCACAAATCCACCATACACAGCATCAACAATCCTGGTTGCCAAGTTTCTTCAAAAGTGTATCTGTTTGATACTAGTAGCCAGCAGCAACTGTTTTAGCCCTTATCAAGATTATTTGAGATGAGATAGAAGGCAAGATGTTGCCAGTATTTGGCTGGACATCTACCACTGTCAAATATTTTTATAATTTCTGACACTACTCTGTCAAAATGTCAGCTCTTTACTGGTGTCAAAATCGCCAGATACTGTTGGATTTTCAGCCTCCTCCATGCAGTTTTGCATGCTTCCATTACCAAGACAAACATGGTAGTAGGCTCATGAGACTGAAGGCTTACATGGTTCTGTGGCTTCCCTGACAGAGTCTGGAACTGCTGGAACTTGTCTGGAATCTGTTTCCCTCATGGCCGTTCCTAGAGTCAGTTACAGTCTGCCTGGGCCCAACCTTGGCTCTGTACAACCCCACTGGAGTGGATCCCTGGAAATTCTGGTCTGTTCCTCAGGCTCTTATGATTGTTGAAAAGCCAGCCCCGGTCAGGCTCAGCTTGGTGAAAGCCAGATCACAGATCTTACCTCAGGGGTGATTCCTCTAACCTTTAGGGATAGAGCCTACTATGCTTTCAAACTTTAGACAAATCACCAAGCTGCCATTGTTTACAGTAAGTAAACTGTACACCTAAATGAGTACACTCAGGGTGAGGACTTCCAGTCTGGTCTTAAAGCAATGCGCAGTACTGAGGCACCATTGCACCTCTCTGAGCTCCTTAATCTTTATACTCCTGTCTCTTACAGGACAGCTGACCAGCTCTTCATGAGTGTGCCACAGACCAGCAGCAAGCTCAGAGGGGACCAGGCCTTTGCGGAGGCAGCACCAAAACGGTGGAATAAGCTGCCTTTGCACAATAAACAGGTCTCTTCTGTCCCTTTTTAAAATCACTTCTTAAAATGCACATGCTCATTTTGGACTATGACACAGTTTTTTTATTTTTATTTTTTTTATGTATTTGTTTTATTCAGTGTGTTTTAATATTGTAGCACTTTGTTCCACCTGGTTGTTTTTCAAGTGTTATAAATACAGTTGCAGACTATATTAATCAGAGTCGATAAGTGCAGGGTCTTTTGCCTGTGGCAAACTTTGATAATCTTCTTTTTCTTTCTCTTCAGCAATAACATCCTGCCTCCCCCCACAAGATAAACACATGAATATTTCCTTATGTAACAGAAGGCCAGATATATATTTTTTTTACAAAAGTTATGATGTCTGAAATGTAAGTGCAGTGTAGACAAATAGTGAAAAACTTAGAAATTAAAATAAAATAGTCTGTCATTTACAGACAGAATACTTACACCTATTATGCTCTATGTGTTATATGGAGACATTTTAATGCATTGTCATCTCGAATCCCATTGTTCAATACACCAGACAGTCAGTATAAAGAAATGCCTTTCACCAACAATATAAAGTGTTGGTATTAAGTAATTATTTGTGGTATATTTCTGATTTGCAAATCTACAAATAATTGTACAGCGGTTGAATAATGAGTCTTTACACAAGACCAATTATCAATAGTGGAGTTTTAAAATGACTATTTCGTTTGCGTAGATAATGGTGAATCATGCTACTGTCAAACAACATTGCCCTTATGGGGCATGTGGGGTTAGCATGTGAGCGCAGTAAGTGGCCTAATTAGTGCATGTTGCCTACTGCGAGAGACTAGAGGTGTGACTTTCTGCTCTTCATACTCATCAGTGGAAGCTCCAGTACAAGCTGTGCGCCCCAATGTGACTAAGAGACATTTAGGCACAATGGGTCTGAAGGACCACTAACACTCAGGTTAGAGGGCATTTACATATGACAGAGTATCTCACAAGTACATGTTACATCAAGATCCGAAAACAATGAATGATGAAGGATGAGCAATGGATGCAGGGTGTGAATAATGCAATACGTGGCAGGGTTTTTCAGGGGGGATGTGGGCATGCAACCTGGATTACTCCATGGAGACAGAAAGTAAAAAATACAGTTAGAAACAAACATTCTACATGGAGACAGATAAATTTTATGCAATTCCAGGTTCAGAAAGAACAACTCCATGAGACAACCAGGTGGCAGACATTTCACCAGAGAAGTTACATGACAGGTCTGTGAAGAGTCAAACCCCCTCACAGCAAGGGTGCAGGGTGTTCAAGATTTTTAGTGCAATAACAACTCTTGCAAGTAAATAAATGTATTCCTTTATTTTAGTTTTTCTTATTGGCTGAATTTTTGGGGTTGAGGCTTTAAAGGGGCATTGAGTAACTTTTCTGGTGGAGGGTCTGTCACATGTCTCCGTGGAGACATTGCTCTGCCTGAAAATGAAAAAGTATGAGATTAAACAGCTTTACCTTATAGTATATTTATTAATTTACATATGGTTTTATAGCTCATAAATACCTAGAAAATAGGAATACTGACTGTGAATGGGGTTGCCTCTCCACAAATCTGACGTGTAACTTGGTCTGGTTTGGTCTCCATGAAGATAAAAAAATTTAATACCATACTATGAACCATTTAAGACAAAGCAATAACATTTCCATAGAGAAAAGTATTTGATGGACCCCTCCACCAGAAAAGTAACACAATGCACCTTCAAACTGTTGTATAGGTTATGGGGCAGTTACCAACCAAATTAATAACTGCCCATCAGTGGCTTTATACAATCAAACATTTAGCTATATAAAAGATGAGGAAAAAGAAGTGTTTTGTCCCAAACAAGCAAAGATATTGCTATCCCTAGCCCACTATGTGGTAAATCAAATCTATTGTATTTTTTTATACATGGCCCATCAAGGTAATGGTATTTAATAGAGCAAAACTAAGAAAAACTGGGCATAGATACTTACAACAAAATGTGTTGCAGTTTGCTGTTTTTAGGAAAATCTTGGGGTGCTTCCCTAGCAACATGCCTTATATTGCAGTCTTAGTTGTCATAGTGACAAAGCATACATGAAAAATGTCTACTAGGAAATGTGCACTTGCCAGCGTTTCATCCCCAAGCCTCCTGTACTTAGACTACTTATGATTAGGCTTCAACCTTGCACCGTCTTGAGAATGGCACAGATAAAGGCATTGTGCAGATCTATTTTATCTTGTGCAAACTGTATAAGAAAATGTGTCTTAAATCAATGTATCATTTAACACAGGTTTTGGACCTATTTCTGATAATGTGTTACTTTTAAAAATGAATCTGATTTAAAGATATTTGTGCAAATAAAAACTTACATAAGCGCTAAACCAAGGTAGTTGGCAGTGCTGCCCCAGTACATGGGGTTGTCTATAAGGTTGAATGGGAAACCTGTCACCTTCTCGTCCATCAAGATGCCAAAGTAATCACCTGAAAAATACCATAAAGACGCTGTTATTAGAGACAAAATAGTGGCAGTATCCACAATACTATTTGCTGTTGTATGTTTCTGGTGGTAAATGGAGGCATAAAGATAAGTGGAACAAGACACAAATCAATTACAGAACATTGAGACTTCCTGTTGCTTTTTGACCCACAAACATTTTGAATACATTGAGTAAGACTAGTTTGTGGTCAGTTGTTATGCCATTCCATGATAACTGGTTCATTGGGGGGTGTCTAAAGAAGAAAAAAACAAACAAACAACTGAACTAGGGCATAGCTAACCTAATCACTTTTGTATCCCTCACTATGTAATGAATTGTCCCTGTATTGTGCACAGATGGATGTAATCTGACCCATTTTTAGTATAACAGGACATGAACATTCAAATGGTATTCAACCCCTTTCTAGTAGGTCCCCCAAAACTGTCATTAACACATGTAGTGAAGGTTGCCCATTTTTTTAGTTTTTTTATTTTATTATCGACCATTATTATATAACAATTTGGATTACGGCATTTCAGTTCAACCAAATGTGGGTGGGATGAAATAGGCCATATAAACAAATGTGTTTTGAAAAGGAAAACTACATGTAAATGGCTAACCTCATTTCTGACCTCAAAACTGACTAGAGGCACCCATTCATATTCAAAGGAAGACCCCTGTCCAACTGTGATTATGTGTATTGGTCAACCTGGATTTTTGGATGCATGCTGTTATCTTAGAGGCTGAAGAAGTAGGTGTGTGGAAAGTGACTGTGGTGGTGATGCTTGGATCTGATCAGCCCGTTGAGACAAGGTGTAATTAGATTGTGTTGATATGTTTGTTTTCGTTCCAGAGTCGTAGCTTCCAATCATCAGGTCACTGTGACTCAAAGAGGCTTAATATAGAGCCAAGAGGGCACACTAATTCCCTGCACACCTACACAAACAGCATCAGCAGGTGTTTGTGTGGAAAGAACTAGATCGGTTGCCTGGCCACTCAAAAATACAAGCTTTCCAAAAATGTACATGTCATTTGGACACTGGTTTTATCTCCCATAGTTCAGGCAATCAAGTTTGTTTGTATCAAAACTGTTGTAAAGTAAACAAAGGAAAAAATAAGAGAATGAACTTCACAACATTGATGATTTCAGCTTAACCATTGTCTTAACCACTAAATGATGTTAAACTGAGGTTTGCACAGTAGAACTAATAGTGCAAGAAACTTTTTTGGAAAAAAAGAATTAACAGGTTTTAAACATACAAGGCAAGATATTGTATGAGATTTGGGATTCTTTACAGAGGACAGGACCAGGAGCTGGACAATGCCCAGGTCTGGTTTAGATCCTAAAATATTCCTTAGTGTAAAAACTAACTAGCTGTGAACAGGCTATCTTTAGCTCTAATTTGTAATGTGCCTATTTGTAAGATTGATATTGCCAGTCACATGCATTAATAAAGTCTTTTTTGGAGTACCTTTAAATGCAGTGTCAAATTTGCATATGTGCTCAAACTATTTTAACAGATACTCAGTGAGCAAAGTCGGCACAACAATATCTTGTATACACGATGTACATAACTAACATGCTCTCACATTCATAGACCACCACCCACGCAGACTCACACCTTCTGCTTGTCCGGCTGCCTGGCTCTGTCACCATATTGTGTTAAAGTGAGAGCTTATCAGAATAACTATATAACAAATATGGATTTATAACAAGACCTAATGTTCTGATCAAATGCAATCCAAGTGCTTGTTTTCAGATGTATTTACCCCATTCTCTCTGTCCTAATATAGTATTTTACTTCTAAAGGGGTATTAACTGCTAGCACATAACATATTTAGATCACTCTGCTACCTTTTATTGTTTTGAAAATTCAATATATGCTAAAAACAATGTATATCTTATAAGTTTGACTTTCGTTTTTGATTATTTGAATCTCCCCTACCTTTTCTCCCTGTAGTAAGTCACTCCCCCTTCATACTTTTGTATATTTATGGAGAACTGTTGTGTGGGACCATGTGTGAAGTGGGCGTGAGGGCTGAGCATTGGACTGAATCTTACAGCTAACGTACGGAGTGCCCAAATAGTGCCTGGGAGAGAGCGATCAATTATTGATAAATGCTTGGATGACATCTAAAACTTCTTCAGGCCTCGTTTTGATGAGGTTATAACATGGTAGAAGGTGAAAAGAAAAAAAAAAAGTTGGATAGCAATGACATAAATCATTTGAAGTGGCCGATCAAGGTTGAGTTAATCCGAGTCTAAGTGATAATTAATAATAATTCATATTTTGCAAACAATGAGTGTATGAATGTAGTACTGAAGAACAAAATGGCGTGCTGACACTCACCCAGGAATGTTCCAGTAAATCCCAGAGCCAGGAAGCTACTGACCACCAGCACAGTGCCCACCACCATGAGAACCACACCCATGTAGTACACCTCTGTCCGCTCCAGCGCCTCCCACCGGGGCTGAGTCTTCATGGCCACGGTCATACTGAATATAAAGAAAAATACATTGTGGGCTGTCAGAACATGCTGTCTCCACAAGCTCAAGAGACACAGTCTGTCTGCAGCAAACAAAAGAATGAAATAATGAATAGCAAGTTTAGTGAGATGCAAAAATATAAAAACAGAACACATTTGAAAGAAATGTAAATGACCTACTTTTATCAGCCTTGTACTCTCAAAACATTAGTATACACTGTGACAGAAGGTAATGTAATTCAGTTTTTTCTACCCCACAGTACATCTAGCAGCAGCAGATGCGTATGTTTATGAACATGTTAAGCATGTATGGAACTACAGATGAAGAAGTAAGTGTAACTTTTCCATAAAGAAACAAAATAAGCAATCATTAAAATGTAGGTATGGGCACATCACTGGTGCTCGTCTACTACAGTGAACATAGAAAATGAGACAAAGCTTGCACCCTTACTCACAAACTGCAGTTAATGAATTACAATGTTTTAATCAGTGGATCTTCCTCAGGTCAACAAGCAAAACAAGCACAACTTGAATAAATCATAAACTATGACTCACCACATGTAGATAATGGAAATCCTTACTTAAATTAAGTTCTAAGCTCACCCTGATCTTAAAATCCATAATTCATTTCAATTCAATCTTTATTAAGAACACATGATATCTGGTTCATAGTATAAAAAAAAACCAAAAAAAACAATAGTAAGAATAAAAAGTTAAATACAGTGCATGTTATAACGTATACAGACAAGAGCGCCAGTGTCTCCACAGCTTAGAGGTGAATCTGACAGATCTCCTCACAGGACACACTAGAGCTTCAATGATTTGATTACTCAGATTCACAGCTCTACACATAAATGAATAAATACAACACCTGATTATGACAGCACAGGGTCTCACATCACAATTTACAAACAATTCACTGGCGCTACAGAACCTCGGCACTTTCAGTAATATTCTCAAAGAGTCGTTATACGCCACTGTCAAACTCTGCAAACTCTTTTTCTTATAGTTACGCCAAAGATGCGCAGTATACAAAGGTGAGCAAAAACATTTAAAAAGTGCAATTTTGACATCACTGGAGCACATAGAGAACTTACGGACAAGCATATTGGCCTGGCCATAAAGCTTACACTGCTGCCTGTACATGTCTCTGTCATCAGAGAGGTCACTGGTGACATAATGTCCAAGATATTTGACCTCATCTGTGAGTTGGAGGGCACTCCCGCACAGAGAGAAAACAGGAAAGGACAACTTTTTGTCCTCTTTTGTTTTAACAATCATTACGTGACTTTTCCGAGCATTGTACTTAATGTCATATTCAAAGCCAAACTGAGAACAGATATTTAAAAGCTGCTGCAGACCTGCACTGTAAGGGCACAGTAGGACTAGGTCATCTGCATACATTAAATGATTATACAGATAATCACCAGCAAAACATCCAATTTTACATTCATTCAGCTGCACAGACAGGTCATCAACATAGATATTAAACAGAAGGGGAGACAGGATTCCACCCTGGCGAACTCCATTACTGACCCTAAAAGAGTCAGAAGTAGAATCAGCCCATTTCACCTGCATGGACTGACAGGTACACCAGAAGATAAGTATTCTAATGAGGTACCCTGGAACACCTCGGTTTGTTAATTTGTTGAATAGTTTCCCATGATTAATCCGATCAAATGCTTTAGAAGCATCTAAAAAACACATGAATATAGTGGACCCCTGGGAATTATATTTATCCAACATCTCCTTCAGTGCAAAGATACATGTGTCAGTGCCATGACCATGCTTAAAGCCAAACTGATTAGCTGTAGTGTCCATACTTTCGTTGCCCATTCTTTTTCGTGTGCATGTTAAGATCTCAATTTGTCAATGGTCCCACATACCAAGCAGCCTTTCTTAAACTCTGGAACAAACTGCCTCCCCGTCTAAAAAGCAGCCCCCTTAGGTTCAGAGCTGCTATAATGTTATTATTATTTATGCTGTTTTTACCTTGCATGTGAAACAACTTTACTAACTTATTCTTTGACTCCCTAAAGCACAGTAAACAATAATCCTTATAAAACTACAAGAGTTCTACTAAATTAACTGAATTCTCCAAAGCATTAGTGTAGCAATGTGACTCTTCAGTTTCTCTGCCTCCCTCCAGCCATTTAAGTGCATCTGAGAGTCTGTTCTTGAGTAAAGAATAAACTAAAGTGTTTCCCAAGAAAGCTTTTAACCCTATTTGTCATCATATGAAACCCTTAAGATGCTTAGCTTAGAGAGACTTAATTATACAGGTTGTGTATTAATAGTGCTTTGGACTGAATGTCAGAATCTTCATTGGAGATACATTAGCAACAACATTATAACAAAGTAAACAAAAGAACCATGGAACTAGAGCTGTGCCAAAAATCATAAGATCGTGATCTCAACTTTGGTTGCTCTTGATGATAAGGCAAGCACATTTTAATCGACAGGTCTACAGTCAGTGGTGTGGGGGTAAGAGTGCATGTTGCTGACATGGACTAGGAAAAAGTAGTCAAGCCCACAGTGTGTCTCTGTGTCCTCATGAGTCCTCCTGTTTCACAAGTTTTGACTTAAATCTGCACAGTTTGACTAAAAGTCCAGTGTCTTCTCTCCCTCTCTCTGTGTGCAACAATTTCTGTTTGCAGCACCTTCTGCCCCGCTCCTCCTTTCTCTCTGATCCAACTTCTCATCTTTTCTCCTCTTTCTCTCCTCTTCTGCTTGTGATCTATCCAAGTTACAGAAAGTTAACAACTATTTTTTCACTGTTAATGAGTGAAATTTAAGTCCTGATTTAATGAACAGATGTTGTGATGTCATGATGCAGTAGTTTTCAAGATAACAGCTACCTTTTACATTTGTTCAGCAGATACTGGCAATTCCAGGGCTGAAATGATCCAAATCATACTAGTGAAAGTGTATGGAGCTTAAAAAAACATAATGAAGCACTACCTGTATTACTACATGACACAAGCTGGAACTGTGGGTTTTCAGTTTGAGAGAAGAGGGACCCTAAATATCAAAGATGTTATTATACACCTAACCCCATTTCAGCCTCAACCTGCACACCAATGGATCCCAGATTTCAAACTAGTCGTTATGAAAATGTGAAGACAAGAAGACACTGGACTTTTAGTCAATGTGCATTCTAATAGAAAAAGAGGTGGAATTGGTTAGATTTTCTTATTCTCTCTCTCTCTTTTTTTTATTTTATTTTTATTTTTTTAACTATTGTGTAAGAGGTCAGTAAGTGTGCCCCTGTGGAGAGCTACTGAAATAAAACATACTTCCTGTTTTGAAAAAAAAAAAAGAAAAAAAATAGTAGTAGTTTTGGGATCAAAGTAGGTCAGAAGGTGTGTGCTGCTGTGATTTGGATTGGAAAGCAGAGGAGGTCAGTGGGAGAAACTGGTAGCTACATGGACTCTATGGACATATGACTGTACAAAATGTTTACACAGTACATTGTGATTGTAGTTGTAAATAGAACGTATGCATATGCAACACAGAATCTGAATCAACATCATTTACTAGTCAATCCTGTGGGAGTGATGGCACCTACTCTCTATACCTGAAGCCTTGTCTGATTGCCTGATCAAGATCAATCAGTATGGGGTGAAAAACAACTTCCCTATTGTCCAGCTCTAAATGAAAGTTTAAAAATAAGAGTACTCAGTAACATTTACTCACTTACATTTACTTTTTAACTTTTTAAAGAAAACGCACTTTTGAGTGGTAGTTTTCTAGCAGCATACTTTTACTAGTACTTGAGTAAGATTTTTATTTAAGTAGCAGTACTGTTCTCAAGTCAAATTTATGGTTACTCTGTCTTCCCACTGCGAGTCTACTTTAAATGAAAAGCTTTATGTAGACAATATGAGATGATCTGAACATTTGTGTTTCTTGCACCACTCTTTCAGATATGATTTAGTTTTTCTCATTGTTGTGTCTATCCTTTGAAAACACCAGATTTTGTGCATTATTTTACATTTGGTCTTTCAAATTGCTAACCTCAAATTATAAATCAGATGTTACATTCCAACAGTTACTCTTTACTCTTTAGTTAAGTTAAGAGCAGGAGTTTTATAAAAAAAAAAAAATAATAATAATCTTAATTAAGTTAAGTAACTTCTTTGGCCACTACTTTGTACTTCTACTGTACTTCAGTAATATTATTTTGAACACTATTCTTGAGTACAATTTTTGGCTACTCTACCCAACACTTAAGAGTTATGTGTAATAAGTGCTTTTGCACCATCATGTTACCCCTCTCCCTCTTCAACTAAACTAAACTAAAAAGATAAAATAAAAATTTAATTATGCCCAAAATGCCAAAACAAGTTTAGTCATTTGTCATAATGTAGCACGACATGGAGTGATAAACCTTGCTCTTCCTCTGCTATATTTTGGACTCTTAAGGCAATTATTATCACATATCCTTGAAACAAACATTTCTCAATTTCCGAGTGCAGTGAATCATAGTTTTCTAAAGTTTTCCAGAATGAAATTATGAGTCACAAATCCAACATCACTCACGTTTCACTTTATCTTTTAAAATTAAGCTTTGGTATAACAGCAGCCACCTGGATGTGCACACAAAAGTAAGTATACTGTAGTATTATATGGTAGCAATATGTCAAAGAAATCGGTGACTGGTCATCATCACCAGAATCCACCCACTGCTAAGCCTTTCATGATAATTACTATATTATCACAGGGGCTTCTATAGCTCAAAAATACAGTAACTCCTTCAATGAATATGGGTGACTATCCACAGATCTGAATTGCAATGTGCCGTAGTGCTGTAATCTGCTTATCTCCCTTGTGACAGGTAGGTTTAATCTATACTGTGGAACATTCTACAGAAAGGAATAACACGGCTGACCCTCCACTAGAAATATTACGCAGTGCACCTTTAATCAACAGATATAAGGTCAGTTAAAATATAATAAATGACATAACATAAAATCTATATCTATATCATCTACAGCAAAGATTAACCAA